GATTTGATTTGGATTTCTCTTCTGTTCGCTCACTTTGCATTTTGTAAATTGATAAACAATTGCAATATATATTTTTGAAAGCATTCTTTACAGCATTTTTTCACACCTCCCTAAAACTTTTGCACAGTACTGTAGGTTTGAAGGTTAAGATAACCAAAACCTTTGGCCCATTAAAATCTACCTTTTGCTCAAGGTGATGCCCATTAGTCCCAGAGCAGGGCAAACTAAGAGCAAATAACCGCTGCTCTTGCTTGACACATTATACGACACAGAAGTGAGACAAAAAGTATACAAAAGAAATATTGCCTTCATTCTCTCCTTGACAAGAAAACAAACTGTGCCAGGGACTATACTGATGGGCTTCATCCTGAAGGGGTCCCCAAAACTGAGTCCAGCAACAAGACAAACTCGCAATGGTTTGAAACCATATTTCCAATATGCTACTGCAAGTTTTGTTTGAGTTGAAGGTAAAGTAAGAAAAGTTACCTAACAGTTTCATTTCTTCCTGAACATGTCAATTTTGCAAATTTAATGAGGTAGTCTAATTCTTTAGAAGGCAAGTATATTGCACCATTCAAGCCACTTTTGAAGTCTTTCTGCACATGCTCTTGAGTGAAATTCTGCAGCACATACTGGACCTGCAGTACAGTGCGGAGTTTTTTCTTCTCTGCTTCAAGCTTCATTAAGGTTTCCCTTCGTTGCGCTTTCCGCTGTGCTTTCAGCAGCTGTATCAATGTGAGGAACAGATTGGCTGGTTGATAAATGGTTGGTTGGTTGATAAATGTTCTAAACAATGGATAAACTGAAGCTCAGGAAAATACCTTTAGGCAATGATTATTTCAATCACATTAATTTAAGATGAACTTCACAAGTTACATATTTCAAGCTTTTACAATCATCAACACCAACATCTAAGCATGCAAAAAATTTAATTATCAGAGTAGTATCCTACATCAGAGCAATATGGGCCATATGTAGAAGTGAGCCACTATGTAAGTTTCTTTTGACTGCAGATACAGTAAAACATCCTACGTATCATGACTGGTCAGAAGCAGCTTCTCTGCCATAGCAGAGGCATAATTCAAGTCAGCGACTATCTTAGCAGTAGCAAAAAATCTATCCAACTCCTCACACATTTTCTAGTGAGCCAACTTAATTACCTATTTCTACACAATAACATGGTCTACTCACCTCTTGACTTAGTCCAGAAAATGTCTTCTGAAGTTCTTTAGCAAACTCCAAATTATGTATGACTTCATCATATTTTTCAACAGCTTCCTGCAATTAGTCAGTTTATTATTCTTCATTTATAATGCATCTAAGTTTACTGAGATGAGTCCTGTAGCACCTCAAATACAATAAATGTATGGCATGCACTTGTGTGGATTAACACTGACTTGATTTTACTATGCAAACTGTATACATTAAAACAAAATGTTTTCTGCCCTAGGCTTACACTCAAAATGAAACACCACAAGTGAAAAATCAGCCAATCTTAAGGTATTTGATCAGGATTTATTTGCTTATACAGCATTCCACCTCATTTTAAAGCAAGCCTTCTATTGTTTATATTGATTAGAATAAAGGTTCTTCACATATTTTGATTTGGACAAGATTTATATTTGAGACCATGAATTATTTTCTACAATAGGGTTTCCATATCATGTTAAAGAGATGAAAGACCCCCAGCAATTATGACATTTCTAATTTGAAAGATGACTTTGGCTTACTTTTATAAAAACAAACTTAAACAAGCAACAACCATTAAGCCTTAAGGAGGCTTAAGCAACTTTTTAAGAATTGTGATGACATTTGTGACTACAGAACTGCTTAAATAAATGGGATTCTTAGAAGATCCTCACATGAACATAGACATTGTTATAAACACAGCATTAAGAGTATACACCACATATAAAGTTGATAAATTTTATAATAAACCTTTGTCAAATAAAACAAAAAAGTATTAGAAATTAATCATCATCTTTTCAGTGGACTATAATGCAGTTTAAAATAATTATTTCCATTTCTAATGTGGCAGGTATCTCCAAGGGGCCCCTTAACTGCATCAGAACAATACAATAATTGATTTCCTCCATCTTTTCTATTGATTAATGCCTGATTATTACAACAGCAATCCTAATTTTGGTCATTTTATTTCTTTAGAGTTCCCTCCCTGTGCAGGCTATGTTTCTCCTTCCTCTGGAAGACGAAAACATGGCTATCACTGTATTAGCAATTGACATAAATCCTTTATTTGAAGTATGGCTAGATGGCTTCAAGTATTTTAAATGTTTCAATATAGTAATCTCTTTATTCACATTCCATCATGAAAAATGATCTGAACTTCTAGCACTAGCATTTACTTATTGTATTTTACTTGTTCACCACCAAATCAATACAGATTCGTAATGTTTTACAGAACAGTGAATATGAAAACATCTAACATGCCCACAGTATTTTAGTATGTAATAAATATAAAGTTTATAGTATACAGTAAATATTTAAAAAATTAAAAATAATCAATTACAAAGATAATTATAATAGTAGTAATGTAAATAATATAATTACAAAATCAGATATCAAAAGAAACATAAACAAATTAAATCAATTCAATGTAAATTTAAAATAAAAATGGTGATGACAACTGTCTATTAAATGCTCTTCAGAACAGTCTCTCTTAAGTAACTCCTAGAACATTAAATGGGGTGAAAGTAGGCCTTAATTCTAATGGGAGATTATTCTACAAGGCCAGAGCAGCAACTAAAAACAGTGCTTCCTTGAACAGAATAAATCGGAATTTGAAATTCAACTATGAAACAGATGAGCACTTAATAGCAAAAATGTATAAATTATTGTTGAGAGAAGAAAT